CAGCCATGTGAGAGGAGAGACATCCACAAGGAGAGATGCAGTTAGAACTTTATTAGGAGAAACCTAGACATGACTAAGATCTCATGTTAAGGAAAACACACACGGTCTTTTCAGGATTAAAAAATACAAACATATAAAAACTTACAAACAAAAACATGGTTTCCCCCATCTGAGTGTGAACGTGCATTTGAATGTACAGGGAGCTGTACCAAAGCTGTGTATCGGGAGCACGGATTCACTTTCAGTGGCCCTGAGAGAGGGAATGGCTCAGTCCCCTCATCAGCTGGTCCCAGGCCTTGTGCTTGTGCAGCCCAGTGTTGGGAAGCTGTGGCCTGTGTCTGAAAGGGCAGTGCAGGGTAAACAACAGGGAGCAGCCTGGCTCTGTTCAGCAGATCTTTAGCACAGGGATGTCAGCTCTGCACTGAGGAAATGTCTCTGGAGAGGGAGCTGCCTGCAGACCTCACCCACCAGACTCACAGTGCAGCCTTTGCCCCCAGGGGCTGCTCTGAGGGGCTGCAGAGGTGCAAAGACCTGGTCCATGGGTGATTTCTAGCACTGTGTGTGCCAGGGATGGATGGGGTGAGAGGATGGCCTGGGGGCAGAGCAGACACTTGCTGTGGGGACAAATACCTTGACCTGTGCAGGCTGGCAAGCTTGAGAGAGCAGGCAGGAGCTGAATGATGTGCAGGACCTGAGCAGGACTCTCTGCTTGCGGAGGATGCTGAAGTGTTTTGGTGGGTTGGTGAGAAGACACAGGCCGTACCTCTTCTGCAGATAAACAGAGGATGCTTTTCTCTCAAGTGGGCAGCTGGCAGCACCCTTTCAGCAGAATTCAGATTGCTTGAAAGATGAGTTTCAAAAAGGGGAAAACCACTTTGTTTCTACATGATACTTGTGAGATATCTGTTCTCACAGGAGAGTCTCTATTTCTGGTGATGGATGTCTTGCTTAGGATTGATGACATAAGTATCTTGGGAAAATTACCCAGTCTTCATCAACTGGTCATCTAAGTGATTTCCCTGGGGCCAGTCTGCTCTGCTGACTTAGGAATGAGGAAGGGATTCCAATGTTAGACATGAGGCAGCTGTGCACTGGGGACCACAGATGTCCTTATTTATGGGGAAGAGTTGTTATATACAGAGTGTCAAAAAATTCAAGTAGGATTTATTGTGTAGGTAAACTGGTATAAAATATCTGGGCTCAGGTAGAGGAAGGGAGGGTTAGAAAGAGCCAAAATGAAGCAGGTGAGAAAATCTCCCTTTCAGAAAGCTGACTGGTGTGTTTCTGCTCCCTGCAGGTGAGAGAAGCTTCAGCTCAGTGTAACTGCCAGGCTGATGTTGCAAGTGTTGGATAGAGACCACAAAGATGTAGAGGCCCAGTCAGTGTGCTAAATACAGTGTCTCAGTGGATACCCAGTGGGCAGGAGTCTGCTGGTCCGTGCTCTACCAGGCTAAGGGTGGGGAGTCTCTAATCCCTGTGAGTCCCATGGTGAAAATACAGCTGAGGGCTTCATAGCACAAGGCTGGTGTCTCTCTTCAGTGCCTGTGGCTGCCCCTGCCTTGAGCTGTGAGAGGTGCTGTCTGGACAGGATAGAGAGAGGATATTGAAACAGGGAGCTTAGGGGTGAGAGTTTGGAGCCCACTTTGCAGAAGTTGAGTGCTGGGACAGTTTCTTCTCCTATCCCTGCTGGAGACAGGTCACACAGACAAATCATCCGACCTCGCCTTGCTGCTGGCACGGCTGGCCTTGCTGAGCCGGCGTTTCTCGTTGAAGTAGCTCTCGGGGAAGGCAGGGGCTGCACATTCACTGGCCACCTCTGGACTCTCCACGTAGCTGGCCTTGATGAAGGGCCCTTCCCCAGCAGCGTCCTCCTGGCCATGGACCCTCTCGGTGGCGAAGTTGGCGGTGTTCTGCTGGGAGGCCATCTTGTTGCTGAAGGGGCTGATGAACTTCCCGTTGGGACTGGACAGGCACTGGTTAAAATCCGGGGGCGGGGTGTACATCTGTGGCCTGTCCGCCTGCGGGGCAGACTCCAGCCTGCCCGGGGCCGTGCTGGGGCTGGCTTTGTATGACCTGGAGCACCTTTCCTTGGCTTTCTTCCAGCCCAGGTGGTAGAGCTCGGCCAGGCTGAGGAAGAGGGAGAGCACTGCCACGGCCAGCATGAAGACAATGAAGACGTTCTTCTCGGTGGGGCGGGACACGTAGCAGTTGACAGGGTGGGGGCACGGTGCCCGCTGGCAGATGTACAGTGTCTCCAGGAAGATCCCGTACAGCACGTACTGCCCCACGATGAAGGCCACCTCCATGGCGGTGCGGATCAAAATGCTGTACACGTAGGTGTTCAGCAGGCTGCCCCTGAGTATGATTTGGCCTCCTGCTTCATCCCAGCCAGACAGCTTAGTCTCCTTCTCTGCCACGGAGCACTTCTGCTGGTAGTAGGTGTCACCACCATTTTTGTTCTCTCGGGCCTCTATTTCTGCCTCCTTCATCTTCCTCTTCTCCTCCATGCGCACCGTGTGCATGGCGTGGCCCATGTACACCAGGGACGGGGTGGACACAAAGATGATCTGCAGGACCCAGAAGCGCACGTGGGAGATGGGGAAGGCCTTGTCGTAGCAGACGTTCTCGCAGCCGGGCTGCTGCGTATCGCACATGAAGTCGGACTGCTCGTCCCCCCACGAGGACTCGGCCGCCGTCCCCAGCACCAGCATGCGGAAGATGAAGAGCACGGTCAGCCAGACCTTCCCCACCACCGTGGAGTGCTTGTGCACCTTCTCGAGGAAGTCGCCCAGGAAGCTCCACTCCCCCATTGCTGCTCACCAGGAGGGGTGAGGAGTCTGGAGAGATGAGCACAAGCCTCTGTTGGGAGAGAGCAGAGAGTGGTTCTAAGGAGGGTTAGGAAATGCCCAGCTGGTAATGGATGGAGTGAAATGGATATTTTTGTTTTGTGTCAGAGGAAATGTTTTCATGTGCCCTGAAATGGATGTGGTCTGTTTTGCTGAAAACTATTTCACATCTGCTGGAAACCTTGTGTTGTTCTTGGGCATTCTCTTTAAATTCAGCTACCGAAACAAAAAGTGATTTTTTTTTTTTACATAACTCATCTACAGACTGCTAAATGAGTTTCCAAAACCTTGAGGGTGAGCCAGTTTTATTTTTGATTCAGAATCATCAGTGATCTGCATATTGCATCCTCTGTGGAGTAATGGATGCAATAAAGCAGCATTCATCTGTCTGTAGACTGCACTCTGGGAAGTCCTTAGTGGGCTGATCCCCTGGGAGATAAGAGTGGAATCTACAGCCTGGCCTGAGCCGTGGCACTGTCTGATGTTGCCTTTGTGAAATACCTGCACCAACACCTGGAACGTGAAGTGTGTGCAGCTCTGGGTTTCCTTTATGGGCTCAGTGCCACCACTGAAGCACAGAGAAAACCCCTCTGTTGCCCACCTGCTCCCTGTCTGTAGGTTTTGCTTTGGTTTTGCAGTGTTTTCAGCTGTAAGTGTTTCATTTACAAGCTGCAAATGTTTAGGGGAGTGTAAAGACTTTGGTGGGCTGTGCCAGTTCTGGAAACCTAATCTGCTGCCACCTTGTCATGCATCCCTCTGAGAGGGAACTGCTGCAAAATCTAAATGGTGGGTCTTGCTCCTTCTGCTTTTCTTAAATTATGAGGGAAAAATTCACAGTTCAAATGAAAGAGACAAAGAAAAAAGCCTCCTTTGAAGTGCCTCCCTAGGAGCAGCACTCCTGGGAAGTGCTGATGGTAGGTGGTCGGATGACAGGAAAGGTTTGCTGGACTGGGAGTAGGATTGCAAAGTGGAAATGAAGGAGAGCCTGTTTCAGTTTTGTTCCTGACTCTGACAGACTGTTTCTGGCCAAGTCACTTAACCTGGTGGATAAAAAGAGAGCAGTGGGTTTAGTCCATCTTTTGTGGGGCTCTGTGGGAGTGCTTGAGCAATCATTTGATCCAGTTACGCTCACCATACTTACCTTGCCAGGGCACTGCAAAGCTCTCCCTGGTGAGAGTTAAGGGCTGGGTGCTATAAAGTGTGCTCTATTACCTCGGAGCTAATGTCCTCCCACAGTCATTCTTTTGGAAAATAGCGTTTTAATAAGTTAATGTAAAAATAATCATCATAATGAAATATTAAAAGCACTAGTCAAGGTAAATCCCAAAGCCACAGGGACCAAATTGTTAACTCTCCTTTATTGTTCCTTGTCCTGTCTTTAGGAGCCAATTATTTTTATAGTGCAAAGAACATTTGTGGAGAGCAGACACTGTTAAAAGCTGAAAATTTACTGTAGCAATATTGTGTAGATTTCCTGTGAGCAAAAGCTGGAGAACAGATACACTTGTTGAGGGAAAAATATCCCCTCCTCTAGTTATGTGAGTGATATAATTTAATGTAGCAGCACACGCCATAATTCATCCCATGCTTTGTTCCTGTGCTGTGTCCAGCTGCAAGGATGGATGGGACAAAGATCCAAACTTGGATCTTCAGTTCCTGGTGCTGCTGAGGGCTGCCCTGGGGAAGGTGGGGATTGCTCAGGAAGGGAGACAGGGCAGTGGCCACTCGCTGTCCCATTCCCTGTCAGAAGCCATGGGAGCAGGGAGAAGGGACACACAAGGAGCAAAGGATGGGCCTTGGCTCTTTCCTGCCCTGGCAGGCGTGCTGCAATCATGCTGATGGATGGAGATCCTGGTGGCTGCTTGGCATATGCAGAAGCTTTGGTCTGCTGCCAGCCCAGAGCTGGAGGAGCAGTAACACAGAAAATCAGCTGGTCTTTCTGGCTCCTCTCGTCTGCACTGGTGGAAGCTGGTGGATGTGTGGGTCTGCCTTACCTTCTGAGATGGCTTTGGTGCAGTTCCTGCATTCTGGAGAGATTAGCATATGGCTTCATTCCAGGAGCACCAGGGGATTAAACACAGGCAGATAAATCAGTGATGGGAAATATTTACAGACTGTGGCACTGAGATCAGTGTGTTTGCTTTTTTCCCCCAGAGTGCAGAGAAGGCAACCAGCTGCCTACAGCTCAGTGTTACGTGTGTCCAACATCACTGTGCTGCAGCACAGCTGTGTGTGGGGAATATTCCTTACAAGGCAGCAGTTTTCCAGGTGAGTTTATGTTGCTTACACATGCCTTTTCTTGTTTCACCTTGCTTGGCTGTGTAAATATGAACACAGCTCTCCCTGGCTGTGCAAAGGCTGTTTTTACTTACTGCCACAGGGAAGTACAATCACAAACCGAGCCCCTCTTCCCATCCATGCTAGTGTGTGCAGGTTGTTTGGGGTTTTGTAACAGCTTGCTTTCCCCAGGGATGGGTACTAAGCCTAGACACTTGTAAATTTTAAAAATCAGGATATGCAGACACAAAATAAAGCAAACAAAAGTGCAAGAGGAGTCCTGAAATAAAGAATGTTAAGGGATGCAAGGAGAACAGCAATTTACTTGTCTCACACATGCACAGAATATTTCAAGAGGCTGTAAATCAGAAGGATCTGAGGTTGGTAGTCATGAGGCTTAGGCTAGATAATAGGGACCTTTCCTCTGCCCTCCCCTGCACAGACTGTCCAAAGAAGGGACTGCCTGGAGGTGCCTCCTGATCATCCTGCTACAGCCCCATAAAGAGCTGAGGTGGCGGCTGCAAGGGCGTAGGTGGCCACAGGGGAACAGATTTTGGAAACCAAGAGAAGGAGTTTCCCTCCTAGAGCAGCATTTTTGGCTTAGACATTTGATACTTACAGCGAGCTATTTTTGCAGCGCCAGACCAAGGGTCTTTGAGAGCATCTAGTTCTCTGCTGCCAGCAAGAAAAGAAGGATTGTCACCTCCTGACAGCTTTTCCTGGCTATGCAGAGCTGCCCCTGACCTAGCCTTTCTCCTCATAGCTTTACTATTCTTGGGAATTTTCCATATAGCTCTTTTTCCTCAGTCCCAGACTACTGTTGCCCTCACATGCTTTGACCTCTCAGCGTCTGAGCATCCGCAGCCTTTTTATATTCCTAGTTTGGCCTCAGTTGGACAAATCTCATCTCACTCTGGTGTGACCGGACAAAAAGCACCTCTGGGTATTTTTGTGGGGTCTCAGCACCTTGGCAGCAAGGTCATGCATATTCAGGAGCAGTTGTGGGCTGTGCTTCCATGCTTTTTGCTGGCAGTTTTTTGCTGGATCCCCATGGACGCCGTCACGGGACCCTGGCACTGGGAGAAGCGTGTGTGACACAGAGCAGGGCAGCTTGGCACTGACCCAGCACCATGGCCAGCCCAGCTCAATCATCACCTGCAGCGCCCCTGAAGCTGAGGAAAACTGAGCATCACCCCACGGGCTGAGCATGGAGTCTGCTCAGCTCCGGGCTGCCTTGTGACTGCCAAATTCCGCGATAAAAATACCCCGGCGGGGACGGCACCTGCTAGCACGGCCAGCCATGGGCTGCTCTCTGCCATTCCTTTTTTGCACCACCTTTATCTGCAGGAGAGAAAGTATCTGTTCTCCTCTGAGCAGCTTTGCCCATCCTCTTGGCAATGCCATGTGCTCTGAAGGACAGGAGAGCATTTCACATCACTGGGGCTCTGATGAACAGCCTGCAAATCCACACCAGAGAGCCAGGAGGGCTGTTCCTGTGCAATCAACTTTATATGAGTTTATTTCCCTGGAGGTGGCTAGGAAGAAAGTTTTCCCCTCTTCAGGAGACAGGCAAGACTATCAGCAGGGATATAAATAGCTGAGCTCAACACTTCAAGCTAGCTTTTCCCACAAGGGAGGTGACAGGAGGCCGCCATCTCTGCGGGATGTTTCTAAAATAAAGTGGAGAGTCTGATTATGACACTGTTTCTGCTCTCCCTTGCTAGGCTCACCTCTCCCCGTGGCAGATCCCAGGGGCACGAGGAGAGGCTCTCCAAGGAAGGCTCCTTTGTGTGAGGCAAGCACAGTTCCCAGGGAGGGGGAAAGGATCTGATTTAAAGCTATTGCATTTTTGCCCAGTCTCTGGGATTTGCTCAATCAGGTACAAATGTGTGTCTCTGGGAATTAATGAGATTTCACAACAAAGTGGAGGCCCAGGATGGTTTAAGAAGCTCTCATTCCAGACACGTGGCTGTTTGTGGATGTCATGCAAGAAGTGCATCCCCTCCAAGCTGCTGGATGAGGAGGCAGCTGTCCCCTCTGGGTGCTGGGCACGTGAGCAGTGACCTTGCAGTGGGGCATCCAGGCTGGCTGGGGCATGGACAGTGCTTAGGAACTGCTCGTGGCTTTCCTGCCCCCAGCTGTGTTATCTCACACAGGTCCAGGCCAGCACGTGGCACAACAGATCATGGTGGGTGAGTGGGCAGAGATCTTTGCCCTGTGCTGACCCTTGTTAGGCTGAGCCCAGACAGGAGTGGGGCCCACAGTGCCAAACTGTGCACTCAGAGCTGTAGGCACTTGGGAAGGACCCTTCAGGCTCTGCACTGGAGGTTGGTTAATGCTGCTCTACTCTAGGAGCTCCAGCCCCTTGTTAGCAGCCTCAGCATCCCATGCAGCGCAGATGTTGTCACTTCTCTCTTGCAGATGGTGATCACTGGGGTACAGAGGGGACAAACTGCTTGTTTGAGGTCACTGTGTCAGAGACAGTTTGGGGACAGAGCTCAGAGGTTGGGACTTGCGAGATTGTGTCCTTTTTTCTACGCAGCACTGCTTTTTAAACCTCATGACAGCAACACAATGCTGCTTCTACTGCACATCTGCTTCTACAGACCACAGCCCTTCTCTGCAGTGCCCTCAGACAACGCTGGCTTGGCTAGCTGAAAGAAAACCCTGTCCTGCTGCCCTTCTATAGTGGGTACACCTGGCAGAACCAGAGGTATTTTGGGTTTTTTTTTGTTTGTTTTTTGTTTTGCATTGTGGGGACACGAGGCTTACAGTATTAAATGATGAACAGAGTTAGAAATGCACTATGCAGTGCTTTGAATTACAGAGGGCTTGTGATGCTAAAGCCCACCTCAGCAGGTATCTTTAGGTTCAGAGTTTACTGGCATTGGCTCCTTCCTGTGGATATACAATGGACAAGCAACAACCTATCAGGCATTTTTGTCCAAACGCCATCTCTCTGGCTTCATATATGCACACATATGCTTATGATAAGTTTTTGCCTGAACCAGGCCAGTTCTTTAGCCAAATGTGTAACTCTGATCTGCACATGAACCTGGAATAAATAGCTTTGTACTTATGCTTTTAAAGAAAAATAATTGACGTGTTTGCATAGGTTCCATTCTGGTTCCTAGGGTTCAAAGTCCTGAGTTGAGCCAGTATCAGAGTGACTTTGACTCTAGAGCTGAAATCTCATGGGAGAAGAAGAGCTCTGTGTTAACAGCTCTTGTTCCTACAAGACAGACATCCAGTGTTTCTTATCTTTCTGCTCCTCCCAAGTTCACTGTGAATTCTGGAAGGGTCACACTGGTATCCAGAGCACGGGCCCTACTTGTAGCTGCAGACAGCTTGTTATTCTTGACGAGGTGTGCTTTCCCCCTCCTCTCCAAATGTGGAAAATCTCAGAGTTCATGAAAAAGAGAGTGGGTAAGAAGATAAGGGAGCTGAATGACCTGTCACCTCCTGCACACACAGGGACACAGACAGAGGGGAATCACTCAGCACCTTCAAGTGTGTACATCAGGGATGTGTTACACACACCAGATGATAATAATATGTAGAATATTTTCATCTGAAGTGATAATGGAAGGTGCAGACTCCCAGTCAGCTGAATTTTTATTAGTTGCCTGTCCAGAACATCTAATGCTATTCCTCCCCATGTGCTTTCATATATCCAAATGTTAGGGCCAAGCTCTGCCTGATGTAGTCTCAGGAGACCAAGAACAGAAGAGACCTTGAACTCAGATGAGTCAAGCTGAGGGATGGATTTACCCCACTATCTTTGAAAAGCTGGCATTAAATAGTTACATGATAGTGCTGTCCAGGCTTACATTTAAAAAGCAGGGAGCATCTTCTAATTCTCTTGGGATTCTGAATTTGCAAAAGACACTAAATTGGGCAAAATAGAGGTGAGGAGACAGGCAGAGAGGGCACAGGGAGCTCTGGAAAACAAAAACAAGCTGAGAAATTGGGGGGCTGCCATAGTATGAAAAATCTTTGAAAAATCTCTGCTGAGAGAAGCTGATCTCAAGCCCTGCTCAGTCTGTGGGGAAGGCTGGTGTAAGGAGGTGTGCAGGGATGGCAGGCCTCACACTGGGCACAGTACAGCAGCAATTAAATCTGCCCATGGGATTTTAGGCTCATTCACAGACTGCATGGGATGCAACTCGTTATAGTGTGGAAATAAAACAGACTGGAGAGCTAATGGGGGAAGGAGAGAGCTCTCATTCAGACTTTTCCCATCCTTTTTCCTTCCTCTCACCCAAGGATCTCCCTGCCTATCAGTTCCCTGTGGTTTCCCTACAGTCAAGCTCCTCCAGAGAGCATTGCCTCAGTTTCTGGACAGTTTTGACCAGCTAACTCTATACAGCACCCAAATTGCTAATTCTGTCAGCCTTAGAAAGGGGACATTTTCAGCCACTATCTATTTCCCACTTATTACTACCTTGTCAAATCTCATTTCTTCCTTCCTTCCAAAGATCTGTGGGATTCTTTTCACGCTCCAGCCTCATTGCTGTATTCTTGCCTCAGTCTGGCTGGGTGAGTGGATTATTTTTTGTACTCAGTGTATGCACCATATATATATATATATATATATGCAGAAAAATACATCCCCCTTTGAAACCAACTAATACTAAATTGGCAAAGCCCAGCAGTAGGGAGTTAGGAAATGCTGGGGTTACTGTTCTCAGTAATCTTAATTCAATCTCTTTGTGCCTGTGCCTCTTGGAGTCCTTAACCACATCCTCACATTGTCACCTCATTCTTTGCACAGGATGCCTGCCTTGTTCAGTGCCAGCCTGGCGGGGGCTTTCTTCAACAGCAGCTATTCAACGTTTTGTTTTCTCCTCATTGTTCAGTGGGTGGCCTGTGCCTCATTTACTGTACATTATTCAAGTCCAGCTCTAAAGGCAGAATTATTAGTTTCCTCGTGGGTTTTCCTATGGCTTTCATCACAACAGTATCTGATCGCCTCACAATTATAAATCTGCTTACTTTCATTACCACCCAGAGGTGAGGAGATGGTGTTAGATCAGCTGTGCAGCTGAGGGACTAAGGCAGTGAGAGACTAAGATAAAAACTGTTCATTAATTTTGGAAGCTCTTTGGTGGTGTGGTTAATCTGTTGGTGCTTTTTCCCCCAGTGTACTTAGCAGTGTGTAATGTGTATTCAGAGCAGAGCTCTGTCTGGTTTGTGCTGGAGTGGGAGAGTTTATCACTCCCACCAGTTGCACCACATGTAGAAGTCAGAGAAAAGACAAGAAATGGGCATTTGTGGGGAAATGTAGTTTAAGTGATTTGTCTCATCATGACAGAGGAAATTGGACTAAGAAGCAAGAATTAACCCCAGTCCTCTTGGTTAGCTTTATCTGATTACAAACTGGAGGCAGTTTTTCTGCATCCCACTGTTCCCTCCTTTCTTCCCCAGACATCTGAGTGCAGCAGGAGAGCCTGGAGCTCTGCAGGGGTCACCCTTGCCAGGCTGCTTCACTTCCCAAGCCACCCTGAGCCCTGACTGAGGCATCTGTCAGTTTTTCTGCTTCTAAGGGAGAGCAGTTTCATATGGAAATTCTCAGCCATTCTCAGACCATGTCCATAATGACATAAAAAATGGAGAAAGGCAGAAATATAAGTGTAAACCCTGTGGTTCTTTCATTAAAACCCCCTGACCCCTCTTCAAAGATACACTAGAGAGACTTCAAAGCGTGCATCTCTCTGCTCATTGCCTGCTGTGTGGCATGAATATTTCTTTGTTTCAGGGAACAGCTACCATGCTGAGTATTGCTCACAGAGATCTCTCTGTTGCTTATCAATAAATAGCAATAAAATTGATCCCCCCCAATATTGAAGTCTCTCTCTTGTCTTCTGGGAATTATTTTTAATTTTAAGCCTTTGTCCTTGTGCCTCATACAACAGCACCCAAAGCGTGGAGCAGTCTCCAAACTGTGCTCCCTAATGGCATGGGGTAGTGCTGAATTACTCATTCCTCCTTGTCTAATTTCAGTGCTGTAAGATAAGTCAGAAAGTGGGCAAATGTGTGGAGAATGTGTGAAATTTGTCTGAAGGTCAAGAAGAGAAGAGAAGCTAAGGTATGAAGTTCTGTATTTTCTGTCAGAGCTTAATTTTTTTAATACACATATCTTACTAAAAATATTGTGATAATATATACTGTTGAGTGGAAAAAAAAAACAACAACAACCATCCCCAAATACTTATAGTAACAGGAATACTTAACATAGTTCCCAAGCGACAAGAGCCTGACGAGTATTTTAAACCCTGAAGCCTCAGGAATTCTCCTAAAGTATTGCTCTGCTCCCAAGGAAAAGGGGAACAAAGTTAGAAATGTGTGCTTTTCTCAGAGCAGGTTTTGAAAATAGCAGCAAACGCAGGATTTTTTGGCTCCTGATACAAATGCTGAGTACTGTGAGGCTTCTGAATAACTGTTTAAGCTGCTCCTAACTGCACACACATGTGCACACTTCATGCATGAAGTTCTTTAAAGAGAGGAACACATAGGCAGCAGTAGGGGAAAGAAATAGAAAGGGAAAACTTTCATCCACACTGCTTCACCAAGGAATTTGGATAGGTTTATTATCACAGAGGGAGAGTTCAATGCTTAAGGCTTATTCAGCACAGGACTTTTTTAGCTGAGGTTTGTCTAGAAAAAAAAACACTTAAATGATCATCTAAAGGTTGTTAATGTACTTGAGGGACAGGGGCACTGCCTCAGTTTACCCAAGTTGTTAAAACCAGAATGCCACAAAGCTCCTTAGACATGACAAATGGGCAGCCTTCAGGAAATCAAAGGAGCCACCACAGATCTGAGGTGGCAATTAGTCAGCAACCTTTACATTGAACTGAGATTGCCTCTTTCCAGGTGGGTGTATTCCAGGGGTACCATATTCTCAAGGTGGGCTATTCTTTGAAAAAGCAGTGTTCAAGTACAGAAATATAATGGCATAAGTATTCCAAGTACAAAATGTGGGGGAGAAAGTTAGGAAGGCAAATAAAGAGAGCAGCAGCTGCTGGTGTGGGAGAGGACATTTGTCCCTCCAGGTCTGTGTGACTCCTTGCTGAGGCTGCCACGGGCAGGATGGAGGAGAAAGGCGTTCATTCCCTGGCGGCACGCACAGAACGTGTGACTGCAAGATAGCAGCCAGGCACTTCTCTGCTCTGGAGCTACGTTCCCAGGCTCCAGGTCACACACCAGCCAGGACACACAACTCCCAAGGAAAAGAAACTGCAATATTTTGAAAGCATCCTGCGCGCTTCAGAAATAGGCAGTTTATGCAGACACTTGATAAAGTGTTTATACCCCGAAGCCTCTCCTAGGTAAGAGTTCCCTTCACCACTGTCCCCTGAGCAGCTTGGCAGCATGTTGAAATGGGATCTGACAGAAATGGCCATTTGCACTTTATACTGTCTGAGGGAGGATGTTTGGGGCTCTTATCGTGCTTTCCTATACATTGGAATCTATGGGTATCTATGTTCATAGCAGGGAAGTTACTTCTTAATTCTCTAACTGCCTCTGGTAAAACAATGTAATTTTTAAAATGTCCCAAGCCCACCATGTTACTAGCGGGAATGTTTTACAGAAAAAATGAAAAAAAAAGTTAATTTTTTAAAAGTTATTTTTTGGCCACCCTTCTTTTCCTGCCTCTCCAAATCCCTTTTCCCCCTCATGCTGTTGTAATAACTTGATCTACCATCGGCACTTCTGCAGTTCTATTATTTCCCCCTCTTGGTTGCTTACCTGATTTCCAGTGTCTTGTCTTCAATCTCCTTTCCTTGTTTTAGCACTTTCCCTTTTTGTAGTGAAGTTGAACTCCTTGTTCTCCTCAGTTGCTTCGTTTTATTCCTTTAATATGGTTCTCTCTCTCTCTCTCTTCCTCTCTTTTTCTCCACCCCCTTTCTGTGTCACTTTCTGTCTTCCCCACTGCCTGTCCGCCTTTCCCCCTCTTCTTTCTTCACCTACTTTTCTTGTCTCTCCCACCCCCTCCAGACTAATCTTTCTATTTTCAAATCTGGTTTCCTGTTGTTTTTCCTTTAAAGACCATGGATCTCATTCCTCTCCCTCATTCTCAGCCTGTCCCTGTGCCACTCTCCTCATGCCGGCAGGACGCACTCGCTGCTGGCTTCGCGCAGTCCCTTCCAGCCACTGCTGCTCCTGCTCCCTTGCACATCTTCCCACAGACAACACCCTCAGCCTTCCCCAAATGGAAAGAGACAGCCTTGCCCCACAGTTACACCAGACAGACCCTGGAAAGGTTTTTCCACACAAGACCAAAGACAATTTAGCCAACAACATATTTCTGACTCGTTCAAGCTTAATCTGGCAAAGCAGAGTTTGTGTGGAGCAGGGTCTTCCACCTCTTCAAATTACACAGGACTTGCTCTGCTGGCTTGGACCAGGGGCCCAGCACAGCTGCAGCCTTGTCCTAAAGGGCACCAAATGCCTCCCAGAGACTTTTTACATGCCCCCTTACTGATAAGTAGAGAATAATCTGCCTGTCAAGAGAGGTGTTTTCTGTCACACCACGCTACCACCACCTCCCTGCACACACAGTCAGACTCACGAGCGTTTGGGCCTCTCTTAAAAATGTTTTTGACATATCAAGTGTCTGAAGGTCTTGTATTTCATGTGTGTGTCAAGCTGAGCCTCTGATTCCTGCACAACAGGAATGGCACAGTGAGCAGGCAGAATCAGAGCTGCCTTCTGGCTTTGATAAAGGTCTCAAAGAGTCTGTGGCGGGAGAGTGAGATTTGCACAGAAGACTCTGCTGACCTGAGAACCAACTTGCTGCACACAAGCTTTGGTGGTCATCCCTCCAGCAATTCTGCCCAGACTAGATATCTCCCACCCAGAGCATTGCCTGGCGGTCTCTATGCATCAGGGAGTGCAGATCATGAAACAAAGGCAGTCTAGGGACTAAGACACAATGCTGGCAACTCTTCTAATAATTTTTCTCCTGCTAATTTACCACCTCCTTTAGTCCTGATTGAAAGCCAGTCTACAAACAGTTGTGTGCAGAGGCTATCTCTGGAAGCATGAAGTTAGGAGTGCAACTCTTTTCCAGGAGGGCTGTATCCTCACTGATGGTTAGTGCAGGATGCAGGACAAGTAAATTCCCACAGCAGCTCAGTGACCTCCTGGTATGGAGACATGTAGAGTCACCTGCTGCTTCATTTCTAACTTTACTGAAAGCCCCTCTGTGGTTTATAAGAAAATGGAAATGTTTCTGGAGTTGTTTCTCCCTCTCCTCTCTCATGGCAGTTGTGTATCTGCCATGGAAATTCATGGGAAGGAGAATATCATTCCAGCTTTTTGTCTTTGTAGAGTAATTTCCACGAAGCATTATTATGTAAACTCATGTTGATTTCATGCCAGTGAGATTGTCGAGGAACTCATCATAGAAGTGTCCAAAAAAAAGGTGTTAATAATACAGGTCCAGCTCACAGATGGCTTTGGGATAGGCTAGGGAGAAGGCTTGTCAAGTGTTTTTCACATGATGTAGAGAGACAGGTCCTGTGAGAGAGAGAGAGAGCTGTCTGAAATGCACTCACCTCCCTGCTGACACTTTGCTGTGCACTCAGGGTGATCAGGTCTGGTTCTCCCTGCTCCTCCTCTGTGTTTCCTGCCCAAGGGCTGTTCCTGAGTGGCACACAGAGGTAATCCTGAAGCAGATACAGTCTGGTTCTGCTGATTGTCAGAGGAAGGGGAGAAGGTTTCTGCCCAACTCATGTATGATGCATAGGAGGTACCTGTTGAGAGCCCTTTCTGTTTTGGTGCTAGAGATAACTATTTGGGTTTTGATGCATGAAAAGGAAATGGTAGAAGGCAGACAGGGAGGCAAAAGACAGAAAGAGGAGCAGAGATGTTGTATGGATACTTCAGCCAGCCCCTCAATGTGTCATCCCTTCTCTACTGCACCCTCTTCAAGGGAAAACAGAGGAGCCCTGGCAGCTTTTCAGCCCATCAGCTAGAAAAATAGCTGGTTTGCTCAATCTTTAGCAGGGAAAAAGAATTTTGACTCCCCTCCCTAAGACCCTGTTATGCAAAACTTGTCTGACTTAAGTGAGGAGAGCAAGTGGAGGAGAATGCTGTCCCCAACAGTGGGAATGAGGAGAACAGCTGACAGCTTGCCATGTGCAGCTTGCAGATCACAGCAGTTTGTGATGCTGTGCAATGCATTTTGAAGGAAAGCAGAAATAAAACTGGGAGGGAAAGGGAAAATAAAACAACATGTGCTATCTTTTGATCAAATCTTAAGAGTTTTCTTGGATTAGGAATCCTGACCCCCTAGGTACAAGGAACAGAGCAGCTCTTATCTACCTGGAGTTCAGCAAACCGTATGATATGGTGTCCCAGAAGAAGCAAATTAGTGTAGAAGATTCAGATGAAGAAGACAGGGATTATTAAATAAATCCTCAAGTGAGTAAGAGACTGACAGAATTGATACACCAGTTCCTTAATAGGTTGAAGGGAAATTATCTGCGAGGCTGCTTAAAGATTGCTCTTAGGACTGATCTTTTTTTTATATTTTTGTTAATTACCTTGGCACAGAATGTAGAAACACTAATGAAATCTGCTGGTGGGACCAAGCTGGGAGGTATCAGGAGGGCAGAGGTGGATTCCAGCCCTGCCAGAGCTGAAGGCTCTTTGTGACTGTGGAGGGATCAAGGTGAGGTTAAGTGGGAGAGTGCAAAGTCACACACTAGGAACTTGTTTGAAGAGTAACAGCAATCTCCATCTCTCAGGAGAAAGAGATGGAGAGAGTTCATGGCTCAAGGGAGGAGGAACCAGCGATGCTACACGGGCGTGGGAAAGGCAAGCAAACTTTGAGGATGTAGCAGCATTTCCAGTTGCAGTGAGTGAAGTAATGTCATCCAAGAGGATGAGACTTCCCCAAAACAGTGTCTGCAGTGCTGCTTCCCCACATGCAGGGAGGATATCCAGCCTGGAGCAGGTGCAGAGGAAGGCAGTGGGGTGGTCAGAGGGATGGAAGGTGTCTCAGCCAACACTGTGTTTACTTATCAGTCACAGCAGGGACTGCACAGAGATATTTGAGCTGATTTGGAAATAGATGTGCTACCAGTCTGAGCTCTTCAGCATTAATTATTTTGCACTGAATTTCATGCTAGTGCAGCTACACAAAGTAATTAAACCACGGTGTGATGTGCCTGCAGGGTGAATACTGTAAGGGAGCTTAGTTACTTAGTCTGGCAGAACAAAGGTTAAGAGAGGAGAGATTTGCTGCCTATAAATACTTTTAGGGACTGGGGGTTGGGAAAGTAAGTGCTCAGGAGAGAGCAGAGCTACATGAGCTAAAGGACAATGTGGCACAAGAATAAATAGATATAAATTGGCCATGAATGAATTTAGGTTGGAAATCAGAAGGTTTCTAAGCAACAGAGCGGGCAAGGAGGTGCTGGAACAGCATTTTAGCAGCACAAGTTAGGGTGGGAACCTAATGAGATTTAGGACAGAGTTTAGTAAGTTTAGAAAAGGCCATTTGGTTTGTACTTGCTCGTTATTCAAAGGGATTGAACCTGATAAGCCAAGAGGTCCCTTTTTCATTCTATTTCCTGTACTTCCTTAGTGCCTTAGCAGATCCGCACCCTTGCATACAAAAGCCAGGTAAATCTGGAGCAGAGTTTGTGTGATGAGTTTTTCAGCACTGATCCCATGGATATTTAATGGAGGGATTCACTCTGTGCCTGAGATTTAAACAAACAAAAAGAGCAAGCCAGGAGGATGCATGGAGAAGGTCTGCAGATATGCAGCAGTACAGATGAGAGCTCACATATGAGAATTTCTTCACAAAAAACAGGTGCTCCCAGAGCATCTGGCTTTGCTGGAAGGCTGTTTGTTTCAAATACAGCTCTTGAGATGTGAAAACTGAAAGAGATTGTCTGAAGGGAAAATGTCTTGTACATTCTTGCCATTACCAAGGACTTCTGTCCTTGAGGAGGATGTCAGGTTTGCTGCATTGGGAAATTTCAGAAAAAACCACCATCCAACAGTGGCTGAGCTCATCTCTGCTGCCTGGCCACAGCACTGCACTCATTCTGGTTCTCATAATGTTCCATGCTGGACAGGCACCTCTCCAAAGCACCTCAGTACCTTCTCCAAAGCACCAAAGGATGGTACCTTCCTGATGGAACATTTTGTCTCAAATCCCCATGCACAGATATGATTGAGAGAGAAGGCCAGAGAGGGAAGTTCTCTGTTTTACATTAGACCTCTGGAGACAGTTTGAAGGCATCCTCCAGCAGGAGGCAAATTCCCAAGGACAGGCTGGGCCCAAGGGAAGAGGAGTAGCAAAGGCCCCTGAATAAGAACAGTTTTATAGTTACAGTTCCTCATTTAGTAAAAATCCCAAGTTATTCCATATGGATGGATGTTTTCATCTTCCCAACCCAGAATACCATACCAGCACAGAGTGAGAAAAGAGGAAACAAGAAACAGCCAGATGTGAAACATCACTCTGTGTCAGACTCATTTTCCAGCAAACTTTTCAGCAAGAACAACTTGAAGAGGTTTTCATCTCAGTGAGGAGAAATTGCCATCTATCCCAAAGTAAATGCTCAGCTGTCAGGTTTATGTTACTGGAAACAAAGTACTGCCCTCTCACCCCTCCTGCCTCCACTTCTCAGCTCTGCAGCATCTCTGAGTAGTTGAGAAGTGCTTTGCAGATGATAATGAAATTGCAGCTCCTATAAACACCTTCCTTGTTTTACAGGTGAAGGACCCAGACCATGGAGAGCATAAAGGATTTGTCCAAAGAACCAGCAAGTCATTTTAAAACAAGGAGTCCTCATCTACCTAGCCACTAGACATTCACCTTGTCCTCCAAACTTCCAGCTGGATGAATTGCTGCCTGACAGAAATATGTGTGTATACAAATATTCCCAGATATGTTTCCAAAAGAAGAAAAGAAAGAGCAGACCTTTACCTCTTTCTGCTGAGCCTGCACAGGTAGGGAGAGGAGCAGGTCAAGTTGACTGAGGGTTGGGTGAGCTTTAGCAGAGCTCTGTGCCAGCCTTGGGCTCCCAGAAGAGATCCTGAAGGGTCTGAGGGATCAGGCAGGAGCTCAGCCTGTGCTCTGACACTGCCTCACTGCCTGGACATCCCTCCAGCCTGGAGGGGACCAATGCTGGGGGAGACTCACCCCTGAGCTGTTCCTGACATGCACTGGCAGCTGTCTGCCTGCTATTCTTTTAAAGGGTCTTCGTGGATCAGGATAAAATGTGATCTTACGCAGGCGGCATTGTGAGCACGGCTTGGCTCGGGTTCAGCTCTTCCTCTGGCTCCCAGCTACTCTATTTTTATTGAAGGAATTCGAGGCTATCAGAAAGGAAGTCAAATTGTTTTAGGAAAACAATAGAAAAGCAACTTGAAGTTTATTAGCTTCCTGCCCAGGGCCTGTGACCAACTTGTCAAACTTATTAGAGTGATGGCAGGACTATTTATTTAAAAGGGCTAGCTACAGGACCCACAATTTCATTCCTGTTTGGGCCTTAGTGAAAACAAAGGAAAGCCATAAAATAATATCTGAAGGGAGCAGATGGCTAACTGGTAAATGGTGTGAGTAAGGTTGGTCTGTGAGCCATTCGTGGTGTTCACCAGTGCAATGGCTTTTGTGGGATTTTATCAAATGAATGGATCAAATTCACAGGCCAGTCCCATCACCCCAAATTCCTTACTGTAGCTCAAGTTTTCAAGTTGAAGCCTCACACCTAAGAAAACAAATTTGGCAGGAAAAGGTCTTCTCCATTTTGAGCCACTGAAAGGAGTGAAACAATGCAGCAGGTCTGCAGGAGAGCCAGGAATAGAGCCCAGGTGTCCCTGACCCTGCTGGACTGCTGGAGCCCCTCGAGTGCAAAAAATATTTATATCCTCCAGAAGCAGCTGCAGTCTGCTTCCCCATGCAGCTCCCCAAAGCAGCCACACCATGAAGTCATGCTGGCATGTGGCTGGTGAGAAGAACAGGCCAAAGCCAAACCATCAGAGGCACAAAGTGTCTGTGAGCCTGAGCCTTCCCGAGGAGCCTCATGGCTTGCAGTGGAACAAGAGGAGAATAGAACAGGTAACTGAGAAGCATTTGCCAACTCTCCCCAGTGCAAAGCCACATCCCTTGTTCAGAGGGCCCTCTGCTAAGTGAGTGTTTAAGCAGCTTCAGGGAGGATAGAGGCAGAACTCACCTCTCCTTTCAGCAGTGCAGTCTCTGGGAGCTCCGGCACTGCGGTACTGAGCTCGCTGAGCTTTGCACAGCTCAGTAACACTTCTCAGATGAAAGGAAGAGGAGCCCACCTCAGAAATTCTCTTCCTTCTCCTCCTCATTATCCTAACTAAAAGCGGGAATGCAAAGCTGCAGTTCTCTCTGAGGCCTGGGGCAATAATGCATCTTGTATTGGCAAGTGATAGAAGATCTTGGTTTATATGTTCCTTTTAATTCATCCAGGTTAGGTGTTTATAAAAGAGTCACTTTGAGTGCATTATCTCTGAGTGCCTTATCTCTTTTAAGACCCTAAGAAGCTGGGTCTTAAGAACTTGGTAATTTTAATCTAAATGCAACAGTCTTCCCTTTATTTAAGATATCCTTGCAGCTTTTAGGTGGTTTCTGTGATTTCTGTCCCTCTGAGGTACTGCCTTGGTGAACAAATCAGCCAAAGAAGTGCACTGAGCAATGCAGCATCCTAGTTTATCACAGTCTGTAGGTGTTTACTTACAATTAAGCACATTCTTGAGTTGCATTGATTGCAGTGTTATTTAATAGTCTGGAAGTTAGGCACCCCACGCTGGCAGGCAGGCCAGCTTTCCTGGGGCAATTCCAAGGCAGATAGTGGAATCACTTCTCCATAGCCTCTGCAGGAAGAGATGCCACGTGCAGATCCCATGATGGTGTTCTGACAGCAGGGAAACGTTTTATTTGCACTTATTTGGTGTCTGTCTCATTGGGCTGGTATCACTTAATCCGTGCTTTGTTCTAGTAAGTGGTGTTTTGATCCTGAGAGCCTTTTTGTCAGTGTCTCAGGCCTGCTGGACTCTTGGTAGCCCCTGAGGCTGAGATCCTGCAAAGTCTTGCTCACATGAGTGGCTTGATATAGTTACAGCTGGGGGCCAGCTCTGTGGGAAAGGTCCCTCCATGTGCAATGTCACAGACTGGAAAACGCTGGAGATTGTTGAAACTCCTGGGGTTTTTTCTTCCAAAATGGTTTCTCAGAAACTTCTGGAAGGACAGCAGTTCCTAGCCTGCTGCTGGGGGACTTCTCACCCCAGAAAGCTGTGACAGTGCCTGCACCAAGTTCCTGGGGTGAAATATATAGTATAAAAAAAGGCTGGGGAAAATATAAAGTATGACAGCAGGACACCAAAGAGAAAACTATCCTCAGAATTGCTACCTGTACAGAAATGTTTAATTTGTGAGTTAATGTCTTTTATCTCTCTGATGAGTTCTCCCATCCTGGAGTTGTGCTGCTGCAAGATCCCAGCTCCAAATCCTGGGGCTTTAGGAAAATTTGCAGAGGTGGAAAGAATCACAGGCACATGTCTCTTCCTAAAGCAAGTGTGGGGTAGAAGGACCTCAGCCTGCTCCATTCTTTGTCCACAGAGAGAAGAGAAATCAGGATGTGAATCTGCTCTGAAGGATCTCCAGAGCTTTCCCTGGAAGTCAGCTTCACAGGAAGAAACAGCTGAATGGATGTGAGGGAAAAAGAGACATGTGCTTGGATGATGGTGAGTGAAACTGAAAAGTAAACAGCCTGAACTATGGGAGGATCCTCAGATGGTGCTTATTGCTCCCAGCCTGCTTGCTCTCTTTTGTGATGGTCTGAAAGAATCTCAAGGCATGACCTCCTGGGTAAAATTAAGAACTTGATTAATTGAAAAAATTAATGAATCATGATTTTTCCCCACCAATTTTGTGATGTGTGTTGGCTGGATTCTGAAGCCTTCTGTAAAGTAAATCACAGCAAATGGGGGGAAGGGGGCAGGAGGATGCTGCTGGCCCAAGCAGATGACAAGGCTGCATTTTGTACTAGAAGACCAAATATCTATGTGTGTACAAGAGCTCACAAGCCCAGCAGTGATGTGGGGCAGGGAAAACGCCTTTTAATGGGCTTTCCTTTCCCAAGTGTGCCATGAGCCCTGTGAGAGAAGCAGGCAGCCCTGCTCCTTCATGCTGCACTTCTGTGTGGCTGAATAAAGGCAAATCCTCTCACAGGCACATGGTGTCCTGAGGACTTATCACAGGAAAGCTTGGAAAAGGTTTGCACCCAGTTTTGCTTTCTGGAAGGGTGAAGGATTTGGTCAATTCAAATGTCCTGAATTGTTTTTCTGGACACCTGGGTTTCCTGGTGGAACCCTGTCTGTCTGTCTGTCTGGCAGAGGGGCTGCAGAGGAAACAGGTGTGTGTGCATGAATCACCTGCAGCACAAAGCCAAGGAAGTGGTGCCTGCCTTCTCCCCACAGCCACACAGAGCCCTGCTGGCTCTCCAGGTGGCCACAAACTCATGTTCAAAGCTACAAGGAGTGGGGAGCAGGCTGGGGAGTTCCCTGAGCACGGAAGTCCTGCCTAACACAGCGCTTTCCCCACTTAGCTTCCCATTTAATTTAATTTGAGTTCTCTCTTGGTGCTCATACATAGTGTGGTGCCCTGCTCCATATAAATCCAGGCACTGCATTTTCACTGGGCCCTTTGAAATGCATGCTGGAGCTTCTTGTT